CGCTGAGTGCCATTATCAGCGTTCAAGCCCCTCCGTTCTGTCGTGTTAGCAGAGTTTGCTGGCTGCACCATCTTTGCGTATATTTCTTAGGTTGGGATGACTTAGGTTGTTTTTTCGGATTCCCACAGACGGCGCCAAATGTTTATGCAAGGGTTGGCACAACGGTTCTTCACGAATCAAGCTCGAACCCGGTCTCTGGTTCCGATCTGAGCCCTAGGGTAGACCTGCACAAGAGGGTAAATACTCCGACGCTCAAGTCAGTATAGATCGGATTCCGTATTTAGTTCGAGGTGAGATTCGATACCTGAGCGTGAAATGAAGCCCTCTATTTATAGGTGATGGATCTGACAGTACACACGACCGGCGGTTATATGTCTTTTCTCATATCGGACCTGTCGAGTTCCGAGCAGGTCGGACCCCAGTCAGGTCGAACCTTGGTGCCCATACTTAGCCTTTTATAACGGGCGAGCCTGGTCTCATCGATAGGGCTGAGGTGGACCTAGGCAATCCTTTTTATTCAGTTCCCCCAAAACACTAATAAGGGTCCTCCACGTGTCTTGGGTATGTTTACCCCCAAACACCGATGATGTTGAGGAGGTAGAATACAAAGGATTCTGGCCATTGTTTCGTACCAAAAAAGCTGCCTGCTGAATAGAGGAATTGGAGGAAGGAGCAAGAATTGCTTGCTGTTTGAACTTCTTGAGCAACGAGAGTGAAGGCTCGATTAATCGAACCCGGTCTTTGCGTATATTTCTCGTGTAGTTCTTGACCGTGAAAGCAATCAGCATGGATCTGCTCCAAGATGTGTAGTTCTCATCCGTTAACAAATTAGAAACTAGAATTAGTCCTGTGTTATTAGAATGATGAAGAAAATAAGGATTTATATTGTTCAAGAAGAGTTTGATTCATCAAAGGAATGGTGGCGGTAGGATTGAGTGTTTCGTCGTCTGCCATGGCAAGATGCAATAAAGGTAGGTGGCGAGAAGGAGAAAACCCACCGAAACAGGTGTTAACTAGGGAAATAACTCTAGAAAACTCTCCTGGAGTAGAATATTACATCTGATACCATATTGAATCACGAGAGTAAATAAAACTTGCATGCTTTGATTTATGAATCATAGTCTATATATAGCTTACTTTACAAACGTATTTACAGAAATTAATTGCTACAATAACTAATAACTACTTCCTAACTGTCTAACCAAAGTAACTAATTATAAACTTAATATCTTCTTCCCCCTCTTCCCTCTCCTTCTCCGGCAACAGAATGTCCGGTTCACTTTGCTCTTACCAAATCTATTCAAAATATCTTCTACATTTTTCTCTACGATTCCTAGCAGATTCCATTTCAATGCGAGTTCTTAATTAAAAAATTGTCAGCAAACATTTTGGACTTAGGAGACCAAACAGATTGTTGATACTGTGCAATTTGGCAGCATGTTTCGAGGCTGGGGCGGCATTACTGGATTCCAGTGCAGTGGAATTTTTGGTGGGGATGAGTTGGACTCTGAGTCAACTGCGGAGAGTTGCGTGGCGGTTTTGTTTGGACTGAGTCACGGCGGTTTGAGGTTCACGAGGGCCTGGCCACCGGAGCAATGGAGGTTTTCACCGCCAACTCATCCGACTTTTGAACACAACACGTCTGAACCTTTTTTCTTTGGGATTTTTTTTCCTTCCTTCCAATTTTCTCATTTGGGTTGTGAATATTAATGAACGCGTTTTGATTTGATTTGATTTTTAACTCAAGCTTTATTCTTTCTGGGGTGTTTTCGAAGCAAAATAAAAGTCATCTAAAGAAGCAACCTCAAATTTTGTGCAGCAATCCCTCCGATCGAACATATTTTTTAATAAAAAAATTGTTGTTAAAACAATTTCTTAATCACGAAGTCACATCGAAATGGAATCCGCTTGCAATTGTAGAGAGATACAAAAGGGATTTTGAAACGATTTGGTAAGAGCGTGATGAAATTTGTCGAAAGTGAACTATATGTTACGAAGAAGGGGA